TCCAAACTTTTGAACAGCGTCATACCCCACATGGTTTAAAAATCATTAATCAGTCCAATAAAAACATCAAAAGGGTATACAACAACAGCTATAGCAATCTAATAGCATTTAGAATCAAACTCCTCTCAGGAATACTCCCAACTCGCCAAATGCTCCACCAACATTATTCTGATCAATACCCAAACAGGTGTTGCCCAAGATGTAAACTTCATACTGAAGACATCCAACACGTCTTTAAATGTCCTGAAGCTTCAGAAGAGGCCAGTCAAATTATAAACAACATTAATCAAATTCTTTATCCAGACAAAAACTCCAGATCAATCTCTCATATATGGCAAGTCGTGGAACTGTCATGTGGCATCACTAATAGAATATTCTCCATAACAGACACCACCAACTGGATCAAGGCGTCAACTGAATCCCTATCCCAATTGTATAACTCAATCTGGAAACCACGTTGCAACACCGCCAACACCTCACCTCTTACAGGTATTAAATGGAAACCAAACGAATTACCGAATACCACCAAATCAACCAAATCAAAAAAAATCACACTGCTTCTAGCGAAAACTCGCGCTCCAGTGATATCCAAAATGAAACCATCATAGACCTACCGACAATTGTCGCTAACTCTTTTATTCAATGTAATTATAACTATAACAAATATATTCAAAAATTAATCTCATCTCTTTCAAACACCATTCCCCTAATACTGAGTAGGTATTCATAGCTGCTCGGTGCCACATGGCAAGATATATTGTTTTAAACTTTCTTTTCAATATTAGTCATATGGTTACTGTAGGCAAGCTAGCATTTAACTCATTGTTTTAACATATGAGAGATGTTGTTTCTTTCACAATGTATACCTTGTTATATACAAATAAAATAAAGGAATGATGTTTACCTACTTTAAAAAAAAAAAAAAAAATTTTAATTTGATTTTTAATAACTATTATTTGTGATATATAATTTATAAAAAGAATTTATAAAAATAATGTATAGGCAATGATTCATTAAGTATTATAATTTTTTTAAATAGATAAGTGATAAGTTAATAAAACAAAAAAAAATTTACTGTATATACAATATATAACACATTTATAAAAAAAAAAATTTTTTTTTATAATTTTTTTATTAGTTGAAAGATTCTTAAATCAATCAAAGAATTTCTTAAATTTAATAAAATTGTACAAATAAAATAAAATGGATATATACTGTATAATAATTTTTATTTAAAAAAATTTTTTTTTGATTATTTATTGAAATATTACGATAAATTGATTTCTATCGATAAAATTATATCATTCTACTTATCGCTGGGAAAATTTAAAGATTTATCGATAAGTTAGAAAATCCAATTCATATAAGGTTTGTTGTACTCGAACATATTCGTTTTTGCAAGGGTCCTTTATTTATTTAATTGATTGTAATGCTTATGTTTCTTATAATCATGAAAAAAATCTTAATTTTCGTTAAAGCATAAAAGGTTATTGGATGGCTTAGATATGTCGAAGTTGGAATGTATGTGTATGTGGAATAAAGATGAAGAATTTTGGAAGACAAATATAATGGATTGTGAAATAAGAAATATGGCAATGTGAATTTTAAGAATACAATGATGAAATATTGCATTTGAAGAAGTAATATATAGATGGAGGAGATAATAATACATAAATGAAAGGGTTAGTAAATAATACATAAACGAAAAAGGATATAATAAATGAAAAAAATACAATAATGATACACGAATGAAAAAGAATAATATAATAATAATACACGATGTGAAAATAATAAGTATTACCGGTAAGATACTACATATATATATATTAAAAAGATATTTTAAAGTCTTTTAAACCAATATTTAATGGGGATACAGCCGTCCAATAACTTTCTTTTCCATTTTGACGGTCTCTTCACACACCAATCCGTGAAGGTGTGATTGCGAAATGGAAATGATGAAACAGACCTTACAATTGGCGGTGGAGTAAGAATATTTTTATCAAGTTTCAAGTCCTCGACATTCTCGTTATCATGTTCCAGATCCACCTCCATTTCAAATCCTAACGGCGTCACATATCTTTGAGGGATTTTTTTCTTATCGCGTGAACCATCTTCCATAGTGACTCGAACGTACATATGCCAGAATGATTTATTCTTAAACAAACAAAATGTTCCAGGATCATTTACCGAAAATGAAAGAGGATTTTGAGTAATCTGTTCTTCGACGGCGACATGGCCGTTCCTGTGTTCTAGCAAGGTGATGGACGTGATTTGTGGTCGTTGACGTTTGGAGGAAGCGTACAGAAAAATGGGTCTCACGGGCTTTACGGGTTCAAAGAAAGCGCGGAAGGTCTTTGGGTCATAGGAGGTCATTCTAAATTCGAATTTTGATGTTTTGCGATCTAGTTCAAATTATGATTCTTTAGCCAACGCATTTCATGTGCGCGTCAAGAAATAATATAAATTAATTAATCACCTTGTTCGATGTCGGCATGTACAACCCATTTGTCGTTGCCACCAAATCGCTTTTGCGTTGTTTCAGG